GGGTTTGGGAACAACACAGCCACCTCCAGTTCTATCTCTGCCTTCCCAGAGGTCGCAAAGTTCTGGGCAATCTTTGGCACAGGTCCCTGGAGCTCCGCCTCGGTGCTTCAGTCCGATATCCGCCACCCGGCTCTCCGGTATTTCATGAGGATCCTTGCCTCCACTCTGCTCTGCAAGATGGAGCCTAACAAGGTAAGGATCTCCGAGCTTACCCTCCTGTACCACGCACTAGACGGACTGGTCGATCTGACCGAGCGCGACATGGCCACACCCAAATTGGGTGCCGTTTTCGCTGAGCACCTAGTCAGCCTGAAGACCAAGCTTTTTTCTGGTGGATCTGGGAGGAAGAAGGAGACGGTCGGGAGTCTGCTGACACCGATATTCCAGCACTGTGGGATCCGTTTTGACGAGGGCACCGCGGTCACTACTCGGACCTACATAGACGCAGAGCATCTGCGTAACAGCCTGTGGATGGACAGGCAGCTGCATTGGTCTTTCCGGACTCCAACTGGTCTACGCCGGTTCCTTTTGCCTCACCAAGAGACGTTTGCTTTTGCGGGCAACCTCGACAGGCTTTGGTTCCAGCCAGACCCGAATCTAGTCTTAGACCCACCCAAACAACGCCGTGACACAAGGGTCCGCAGCGCCGGCACCTCTCTAGCTTCATCAGCAGCATCCCTGCCCCAGTTCCCAGACCTATCAGGAATGGAGACGGGAGAGGAGAGAGTCTTCTAGAGAGGAGTGCTGGATGCTCTTCGCGCCATCTGGTCCCGTGTCTCGAGATGCCGTTGTTCGAGCCGAGCGAGCACTTCAGCAATTGACCCATCGGCGCCAGGTCCATCCCACCACTACCGCCACAATGACGAGGACGACGACGAGAGCAGTGACGACTGATTCACTTGCTCATTTCTATCCCTTATCTCGTACTATTATGTTTTCACTTTTATTTCCAGACTTGTAGGATTTTTATTTGTACTTTTTATTACTATGCCTGCTATTATCTTTTATCTAACTATTCATGTGTGTTGAGTATGTGTAACAGAGCTAACATAGGGTTACATAACCCATTGATGGTGAGTTTGATAGGTTAACTACACAATAGGCGAAGGCACCCCATATCGATCGACGTACACCATATTATGTCGCACGATACAGCTAACTATATATCGATCGATGTCTTAACAGACGTATCGATCGATATGTAAGGGTAGAGGTACGATTTTTCCTACTAACATGAATATTTTTGCTACATTCAAATTTTAATTTTTCCTCTTAGACAAAATAAAACTAGGGGCAGTGTTGTTTAAGTCTGGGGGGGGGGGTATCTACTAACATTTTTTATTTTTATGTTCATTTCATTTTTATCATTTTTATTTCATTTTTATTTCCCTTTTAAACCAAAAAAAAAAAATTTATATGTTTTACTAAGAAGGAAGCAATGATTATATAGATTCAGACTTGCTACCTAACCACTTCTTAGCACCACTCTTAGATTTTTCAGTTACAAAAGGTACTAGAGATGCTAAAGCAGAGCACCGGTCAGCTATGACAACACTTGTTGAAAATGTCTAGAAGAACCAAAGCCGATTTCCAATCTAACCTGACATTTATTACTTGTCTTGGGGCTTGGCATACAAGGGATCAGAATCCTCTTGCAAATATGGAAGGTAAAAGTCTCAACAATTTTGGTTTCTTTCTCTCCTCCCTTTGGCATCAAAAAAGAGAAAAATAAAAGATTGAGATGATTTCCTGAGAGGCAGAGGGAGAAGTACATTATCTATGACCCCACTATTCTAAATCAAAGGAATGATCACACATTGTGGAAGCGAGGGAGAGGTAAATTACCTATGACCCCACTATTCGATTACACTTTGTCAAAAAGCTACAAAAAGAAGAAAGATCAATAAGATGAACATTAGTTGTTCATTGGGATTGATATAAAAGAAAAAGAAAAATTTTGGATTCAGAGAAGGGAGATAAAGAGAGAAAAGGAACCAGAATGAGAATGCCTGAAACTTCCTTGAGTTGAATCCAAGTGTTCCTTGATTGATACTCCCAAGGTAAACCCTACACCTTTATTTTATGCATAAATGAGATTGGCAGTGGGGATAGACAAACAGGATCATTAAGTTGTTGGCTAGTTGAATTTGGTTGCTAAGCTAGGATATGGTGTAATGTACTTCTGAGATTGATAGATATTTGAAGTGGATTGCAATAAGTAAAGAGGTGATGGTTCTAAGTTTAGAATTATAGGAGCTTCCACCTTTCAAACCTTTTCTAGACCAGTGTTCTATTATTTGCTTGAGGACAAGAAAAATGATAAGTATGGGGGAGTTGATATATCATGGATTTTACCCACTTTTAACCATGATTTATATATGTTTTTGGAAACAAAAAGATACTTTTAGTGTCTTTTTAGAGCTTTTACAGGTTCAGGTACTCAATGGTGTAAAATGACCATTATGGAGCTAAAATGGAGACTTTCTGAAGATATGAGCAAAACGTGCTAAACGGTATCGACCGATGCGCATTAAGAGCAATCGACCGATGAAATATCATCCAAATCGATCGATAGAAGACATTCTATATCGATCGATACAGAATTCCTCCAAAGCGATTAAATGAAGATTAGAAGCCCTAATTGCTTCACAAGAGTTTTAATAATGTTCACCTTAAGTCCCTGGCCGCCTGTTAGGCTATATTAAGAGGGTTTTGTACTAGTTTAAGCAGACTTCTCCAGAGACCTTTAGACGTAATTTTTAGAGAAGCATCTAGTCATACTTTGAAGAAGAGCTTAGGAATTAATAGAGAGATATGAACTACAATCCAGAGAAGATATTGAACTCCCTTGCTTTACTTATTGTTATTATTATCTTAAAGCATTATGCAAACCATTATGACTTTGTCTCTCATAAATATGTTTGAGTATCTCTTTTTAGATTTAGGTTTCGCATTAGGGTTGACTCATGCATAGAAGTAATCATTATTAGGGTGTTTTAAATATAGTTCTAAATCTAGTCATCATAATTACTAGTGTTAAGGATTGATCACCCTTACCTCTGATTTTAGGATCAATTTGGATAAGTGAGAACTTAGCAATTACCTAGAGTCTAAGTTATTTATTGAAGACTAGAGAACCCTTTCAAACCTGCCATTAGAACTCGCTGGATGCAATATCGATCGATGAGATAACCGTCTTATCGACCGATTTAGCATATAAACATCGATCGATATTTCTATCGAACTATCGATCGATATTTATTCAAGGTCATCGATCGATAGTTCTTGACCCGAGATCCGGTAAGAGTTATTTCTTCATATTCTTAAGAGTTTGAATCCAGAACTATGAATAATAAAAACCCTTTATAACTTGCATGTTGTCATACCTGAGAAAACACCTAAGTTTAACTACCTTCTTTTCTCTTAACAAACAAATCAATCAATCAAGCAATCGCTTGGTTACCTTTTTAAGTTATTGTTTAACACTTGCTATCTAGCTTTACTTCGAAAACTAAACAATCGGTTGTGTAATCCTAGAGTCTTTGTGGATTCGATCCATAAGTACTACAATTGAACCTCTTTTGATGAGAGTAATTCACTCCTAGGGTAATTTGAGTGATATCAATCTTGTTGTTAAAATTTGTCTTAGCCGGTTAGAATACAGAAATGCACAGTAAAACAAACTAAAACTAGAAACTTCTGATTTATCTGACCAACCAAAAACAAGGTCTACAAAACAAAATATGAAATCAATATTACTTGAAATTAGTAACAGACAATACTAGCGGTTCATGTTGACAAGCTAACATTATAAATGGTTTTGATAAGTCTTTTATAGCCGGTTAGAAAACAAAGAAGAAAACCTAAAATAACTTCAAAAATGCTAAAACCCAATTTAGATGACCAACACAACGACAATACAACAAAATACTACTTCATGAGACCCTTACAACACACTTAAGTTAATACAGCCATCCCAATCAAACTTCAATATTCAATGCCCACTTTCGGTGCTACTTTCTTCAGATGATGTATATTTTTCTCTCTCACCCCCCTTGATTGATCTAACTCCTTTTGTACCACCACAATTAGCCAACTTCATAATTGGTGGCAGTGTGTTAAGACATGCTATTGGCGTCTCCAAACTTGTCTTAACTCTCTCTTTGTTCTTTCAGTTTCTGGATCTTATCAACCGAGTGTCTCTAATCTCTCACTCTCTCGACTCTTTCGATTGAGTCTCTTCCCCTATAATCTCTCTCGACTCTTGTATCTCGTTTCTGCCGTCTCTCTGATCTCTTACGAGTCTCTTCACCACCATAATCTCTCTATGTGCCTTCCTCTCTCACGACGCTCCTCTATCTCTATCTCTTCCATGGTCCATGTCTCCTCTCACTGAAATCTCTGACTGTTGTCACCCTATCCCCCAGGCTTGAACCTCCCTGGTAAATTAGAGTTTTCATGATTAGTTGGGGTTGCGATTTTATTTATGGTTAGGGTTTCAGTTGATTTGGGGTTTTGGTTACAGTCGATATGGTTAGGGTTTCGATTTGGGTTATGGTTTCAGTTGATTTGGGATAGGGTTTTGATTATAAACTTTTTTTTCGTTACTTTTTGCTCATTATTCCCCGGTTTAAGAATTCTCTAGTTAGATTTGAAAATCGTTTGATAATATATATGTCATATTTGCTGTTGTTAAGATTTGAAAAATATTGTTTATTGTATTGAAGGATATGAAGTTGCGGTGATAGAGTATCGAAGAGGAGATGAAGTTGCTTGGTACCCTGATGGGGATACAATGGTCAGGCACAATTATAATCCTCTCACAGCCTACGCTTTTGGTATTGCCTTCCACCTCTATTTTTGGATAGTATATAAATATTGTTCGTGGAGAAAATATCATTTTGTTCCTCACTGCTCATTCTAATTGATTATAGTGGTGACTGAATACTTTTCCAAATTTGTTGATATCAGATAAATCTTTTGGACCACAATAAAATACTATGGACGTTTATGACGTTGCTACAAGACCCGTTGTCAAGGCTGCAATGGAAGGTCTTAGCGGTATGTAAAATAGCTGTCCAAAATTGGTCTCCAATTTTAGTGTTTCCTTTGCTAACTTCTGACTTTGTGCTTTGGAAATTTTGCAGGAACCGTTTTTGCCTATGGTGTTACAAGCAGTGGAAAGACCCATACCATGCATGTAAGACTCGAGAATCTCTTTCTCTATATGTTTCCACTTCATTATCTGCTATCAATTTCCCATTCAGACAAGTGATTTTTTTTTAATTTGCTATTTGGTTCCAATATTCATAGGGTGATCAAGAATCTTCTGGAATCATTCCGCTTGCAATAAAAGACGTCTTCAGTATCATCTAGATGTAAGATCTGGATGAAGATTTAGAAGACCGAAGTTAAGTTACTAAAATATAGAAAGCGTTAGTCTTTTGTCTAAAATGATAGATGTTTGATTGCATTGTTGCATAGATGGCTGATTCTGTGCTTGTCCTTCAAAGCCCTGATTAGAGGAAGAGGATAAACAAAGCTGTTTGGGGACCATTGAACCAAACCATTGTTAGTGGTGGTGAGGATACTGTTCTCAGGATCTCAGATGCTGAGGTAAATTCAAAAGTTTCTTAAGCAGATTGTTTCCCTTTTAAAGCTATTAACTTTAATGAATATGGTGATACCAATTGTTGTTGCTAGACTGGGGAATTGCTAAAGGAATCAGATGCGGAAGTGGATCATAAGAACACAATCACATTGCTCTCTAAAGCAGTTGATGATTCTCACTTCATTACTGGTTCACTTGGCAAAACTGCAAAGGCATGTGTTCCTTTCTTATTCCTTGTATTTGTTGTTTCAAAGTTGTTATGTTTGTATATATATCTGATAAGACTGGTGTTGTTTTTGTTTAAATGTTTCAGCTGTGAGACATGAGAACGTTGACTCTTCTTAAGACTTACGTTTCAGGGGTGCCTGTAAATACCGTCCCCATGTCTCCACTTCTTGACTATGTAAGTAATAATAATACTTCAAACCTAGTATGTAGCGTTAAACACACATATGCTGTTCAGTGTTTTTGTTTTGTGTTCCAACCTTTGGTCTTCTTTTTTGCTAAATGTATTTAAGATGTAGTGCTTCTGGTTCTCTAGAGAGTAAGATATGTAGTCATGCACGTTTTTCAGTGTGTTGTTCTATGAAACTAGCCTTTTGTTCTGACTGAGCTAAAAGCATGTGATTCCGTTAATTTTCTAGTTTAGTCAGAGTCTTATTGATATCTTGCGACTTACAGTATAACTTTTGTTCATGGCAAGTCTTAGTCCTATTTTTGTTCCTTCTTAGCTTGTCACATCTTTATAGTGTGCTAATGCTCTAATATTTTGCAGGTATTAGACCAACCAAAAAGGAACTTTGTTATAACCATCAATCAAGTGGGCAAGCAGTCCTAATGGTGATCAAGCTCATGTCTTTACGAATTAAAGTTCAAAGGACAGTAAAAGAGAAACTTGGCAGCATAGAGGAGGAAGACTTAGCTTTAGGTTTATGTTTTTGGTAGTTATAGGTTTATGTTTTTGGTTTAGATTTTTGGTTTTGTATTTGGTTATTTTGTAAACAATTTCGATATATAGAATATAAAATATTTTTTTATATTTTATTTTTATTTTTTTTAACTACACTATGATATCAATTATTATTTGCTATTATAAGTTATAAAATTGCAAAACTAAAAGAACGTTATCGAATTATTATTTTAACATAGCATTTGCAAAACTCTATATAAAGTGATAGAGAAAAGATTGCGGGGCCAGATATAGCGTTAGTGTCAAACTGTAAAATTTAGAATTTTTTCACAGCTCTATCCGTAAACAATAATATATATCTATATATATATATATATATATATATATATATATATATATATATATATATATATATATATATATATATATATATATATATATATATATATATATATATATATATATATATAAAATTGGGCTTTCGATTCGTTTTCCGTTTTTGATTCAAATTAAAAAATCCGGATAGCGTGAGTTTTATTTGAACCCTGCATGTGAGTTTTATATTGAAAAAGGTAAAGTACATAGTGTAAAAAAATTTATGTAGAATTTGGCTGAGAAGCTCTCTACACATGACACGTCAGCTTGTTCATTCTCAAATCGCTATGAAGCTGCTACGTGTCCATTATAGTGTTAATGCATTTATTAGAGTGCTTCTCTTATAAGGGATTATACTGATACTTACAATTTTATAATGTCGAGTAATTTAAATAAAGATAATTTTTTTAACTGAAGAAGAAAAATAATATTAATATAAGATAAACATGTAAGAAAGAGTTTATTATAAAGAGGTAGGAAAATAATGGTGAGGTATGAGTTACAAATGATCGAAGTGAAACGGTAAATTACTGTTCATGCATAATGATGATGGGTTCCATATAAATTTTGTTTCATACTATATTGTCAAAATTCGACGCATAGTTTTTGGATGTTGCGCACAATATAAGTTTTATAAACTCCCTTTGGAATCAGTGTCACTATCATTTCTTGTTGTACGTGTTTGTTGCCTCGTTAAAAACTTTCTAAGAAAACCTAGTGGGAAAAACCATAGTAAACTAGAGTACAACCATGCAAACCCTCCCCCAAGTGAACATTACGTCATTTCATAAATCCTTTTCATGATGCATTCCAATGTTGTGGATGTGTTTTCTGAATACCAAGGTAAGAAGTGAGTTTTTTGAAGAAGTCGGTTGCTTTGTCACTTGATTGAACATATCTTACCCCAATCTATTTAATCTTCTTGAGCTCTTAAGTGTAAGAGAAGAACTTAGGATGTATATGTTTTGGTCTATCGCTTTTAATATATCCTTCCTTAGATTGAAAAAAAAAGTCCGATTATCTTCATATAAGATTGTTGACTTAATATTTTCATCAGTCCCACTAATTGAACAGATGTGCCGGCTTATTGATCTTAGCCATACACATTTTCTACTTGCTTCGTGGAGTGCTACAATCTCAGCATGTTTGAAGACATGTCCATAAGTGTTTGCTTCTGTGAACGCCAAGATATAGGAGTGCCTTCAATCGTATAAACATATCAGGTTTGTGATCGAGCCTTATAAGGATCTGATATATATCTTGTATCTGCAAAACCATTATTTGACTTTTAGAATTTTTAGGATAAAATAAACCTAAATCAGTAGTTCCTTGGAGATGTCGTAAGAAATTTTTAATTCATTCCAATGTCTTTACGTAGAGGAGGAACTGAATCTTGCCAATAGATTAACAACAAAGGATATATTAGGCCATATACAATTGACGTCGTACATCAATGCTCCGATTGCATTGAGATATGATATTTCAAGATCAAGTATTTCTTCATTTTTCTCAAATGGTCGAAATGAATCATTTTCAACATTAAGTGATCTAACGACCATTAAAATGCTAATTGGAGTTCCTTTATCCATATTAAAGTGTTTAACACTCTTTTGGTGTATGTAAATTGATGAAAAATATATCCTTTTGAAAATGCTCAATTTGTAAGGCTAGACAATATTTTGTCTTCTAGAGATGTTTCATCTCAAATTCTCCTTAAATAAAATGATGCCTTTTGTATTTTTCTTTGAGTTCCGATAATTTAAGATCATCAATGTACACCAAGATTATCACAAATCCTGACGCTGTTTTCTTAATGAAAACATAAGGACCTGTAGGATTATTCGTGTATCCTTTTTTTTTAAATGCTCACTAAGATAATTATAGCACATACATCAATATCGTTTTAGCCCATATTATGATATTTGCAATTTTATTGCATATAACTCTTTAGGTTTAGAACTTAATGCTTATGAAATTTTAAGTCCATATGGGATTTTCATATAAATCAGTAACTAATGATTCATATAAATATGCCCTAACGACATCAAGAGACGTATTTTTAAATTTTGGTTAGCGGCTAGGCTCATCAGGAATATGTTTCCTTATAATCAATTCCAGGCTTTTGACAATGACCTCAGGCCACAAGGCAAGCTTTGTATCATATGATCTTGTTTCTCTCAATTCGTTTTCGGACGAATATCAATTTGTATACAACGGTTTTATAGCTTTAGGTGTGAGTACGGTGGGTCAGAATACATTTAGTTTGTTAGCGAATTTAATGCAAATTGAATTGCATATTTCCATTTTATCCAGTCATGTCTTTTTGGCAGTTATATACAGACTTCGGTCTGGATCTTCGTTTTCTTTATCTATTTCTTTTGCTAAAAGGTAGGAGAAAACATCAACAATATCATTCATCTAATTTCGTTTCCATATCTTTTCATTATGAATGTAACTGATACAAATTTCATGATTTCGTTCAGAATCATGATGCTCTCTATTGTCGTTAGATTCATAATTCGTTTCTTCCAAAATACTTTTTATTAGTTTGGGAGTGTCATGATTTTCAGCTTCCTTTCGTTTCTAGGAATTTGATCTTTTGAAGCAATAATTCAACCGCGTTTCAAATGTATTCCTGATTCACGTGTATCAACTGCCATTCCACATTTTGTGGTATTTTAATACGAGCGGGAGTATTTGTATCAGTTATATGTGATTTAGTTACCATTTTTGTATCAGCAAATGCATCAGGTAGCTGATTTGCTATATTTTGTAAATTCATGATACGTCAATTTTCAAGTTCTGGCTGTTTTGTAGGAGGATCAAGGTGTAATAAATATGGTTCATTCCATTTGATTTATTTTCCTCCCTAGAATGGGGAATTCTTTGTCGCAGAAAAGACAATTGGCGAATCGTGCCATAAAGACATCACAATCTTTTAGGTTCTAAGTATCTTAATGGAAAATCATAAACAATATATAATCCCAGCCGTCTTTGCGGCCATATTTTCGTTCGTGAAACAAAAAACATAAACCGCACAACCAAACATTTTCAAATGGGAGATATTAGGTCCTTTACCAAATTCTAACTATAATGGAGGTATATCTATGATATGCACTTGAGTTTATCCAATGAGTGCTCCTGCATGCAAAATAGCATGCCCCTATACTGAGGTTGGAAGTTTTGATCTCATGATCAATGGCCTTGCAATCATTAAATGCTTGAGATGTAAATTCAGAGTTATCTAATCTAACTCTTTTAATTGAAAAATCAAAGAATTGAGCTCTTAGTTTGTTATTTGAGTTAGAATTCTCACAAATGACATATTTTGAGATGATAACAAGCAAACATGTTACCATATATTAGAAACATCAATTAATACCATAAAAAAAGTAGAATGATCTACATGGTGGATGTATTGGTCCACAAATATTACATTGGATTCATTCCAGAAATTTGGTGATTATCAATCTTTGTTAGTGATGGCTTTATGATTAGTTTCCCAAGAGCACATGCACCACATGTCATTTTATTACTTTGATATTTGAGATTTTATCGAATGACCATGTGAACTTTCAATGATTTTTTTTGCATCACTGTAGTGCCTGGGTAACCGAGACGGTCATGCCATAATATGGCATCTTTTAGATGTATTTTGATCAAGAGGTACAAATCTATTTCATTGATATAAGTATGATTTAACCCAGAAGGAAGTTCTGGAAACATTTCTAGTACAAGGCTTTTGCCTGATTTTTCAGAATTTATATATACTTCTTTTTATTCTTAGTTGCAAACTGAGTGTCATATCCTAAAAGATATATATCTTTGAAGCTCAACAAATTTCTCTTAGAATTCAGAGAATATAAGAACTTATTTATAGAATATTTGTTCCATTAGGTAACATAAATCTGTTTTGCCAATTCTTTCTATCAAGTCTATAGGACCTGATATGGTGTTGACAATCAGTTTTACCGACTTGAAATTAGAGAATATTTTTTAACTTTCAGTAGTGTTTGTTATACCACGATCTGGTATGCAAATTTTTCCAACAAATTGTTTG